AGATTTTCAGTATCATTTAATTATCCTTCCTGAATTTTAGTGGGACAAATCTTCTCTTGATGAGATAGATACCTGCTTACCTTTCTTGTAAATCAATCATATAAGCACTTTAGGCTATGTTCTTTTTATCAAGTCCTCTGTAGGTGAAGAATTTTCTTGAGACTCTTCTATACTTTTGATGGAATTATTAATCTTTTGAGTGGTATCTTGCTTAGTTAGGGGCTCAAAGCCCATTCCTCAGAGATTCTTCCCAAGAAACCTTCACTGAAACCATCACACTTTCTGTTTCCACCCCCAGGCAGAATGGGTCCCTGTCACTTTTACACCATCCTAGAACTTGTTCATCCCATAGTGTAGCCTTTACCACTGTTTCTTCTTAGTCACAAAGCATAGTGCACCAGTTTATCTGGGTCATACCAGGCTCTGCCTCTTAATTGGCTGCCTGACCTGGAACAAGTTACTACTTAATCTCTCCCTGAGTTCCCTCATCTATAAAATAGGGCAAAGAAAAGTACCTACCTCACAGGGTGATAGTAAGGAAGAAATGAGTTGATGTGAGCAAACCTCTCAAAGGAATGTCCGGCATGCAGTAAGCACTACATAAATGTTAGCTATTACACATGTTTGTCTCCTTTGTGATGATGAGTCCCCTGAGGTCTGGGAACCTTGGTTGTTCATTCCCTCTAAGCCCCAGACCCACATAGCCAATTGACTATTTCACATTTTATTTGGTTGAACAGAGCATATCAAATTCACTATGTCCATATTGAAATACTTGCAGATGAGATGACAGTGATACCTGGGGTTGCTTCAAAGTAATCCAGGAAGGGAAAGCAGAGTGTCAGTAGAGGTGAAACATGATCAAGCATACCTTGACACCTGTGAAAACTGTATGATGGGCATGTTGCGTTTATTATATTATTCTCCCAAATGTTGAATATGTTTGGAAGATATCTGTAATAAAAAATTTAAAGCTCAAAAATTACAATACCACCTTCTAACCTTTCTTGTCAGTCTGGTCCTTCTCTTTCCTCCCTGCCTCAGTAGATAGCATTTTTTATTCTATAAGCAAAGAATGGCAATGGGAGATTTTTTGAGATGGGGAGATAACATACATTATTTTTAAGTTCTTTCCAACTCTGCATTCATGGAAATTGTGGTTGAAGCGCATGGGGAAGATTATTATGATGATGGTGATATGCAGGGTGAACTGGAATAGAAAGAAATAGAAACTCACCCAGTTGTGACAATTACCACTAAAATGGAGCCTGTAAAGAAAGGCATACTTTGGCTATGCAAACTCTCCAGAGAGATCCCTATGAGTGGGTCTTGTGAATCTTCTGAAGTCTCATCTCATTATCACCTTCACCCCTCTCTTACTGAACCCTGTAATTTATCTGTACATTTATTAAGTCATTGATATATTATGCCTGAAATTCCATGCTCAAAGCTGGAGGCACTAGAGAAGGTGAAAGTTCTCTGCCCTCGCCTGGTCGGCAGATACAGAGATAAAGACATTGAGTCTGCTTAAACAGGGCCAAAGCCCACGTCATCTCTAAGATATCAAGGTGGTTCTGAAAGTCTGACGTCCTTCAAGGCTTGTCCTATTTGCCAACGACAGTCCGTGGTAATTGCTAAAAGCATCACCAAGCACTATCAAAAGTGTTCCAATTGTAATGATAAATTATCTGGCCACCCTTTCAGTTTCCAAAGTTAATCTAAGAGGGCAAGACCCAACTTTACAAGCAGCTCCTTTTTGAAAATCCTAGAGCAGATCTAAGACCCTAGCAAGTCTTGGTCTCAGGCAATCCTAGTTTTGGCAACCATAAAATTGTCCTGCTAAAAACCTCCAAGGACACAAAGAATACCCTAGAGCATTTCCACTTCTACCAAAGGAGATCAGCGCATGAGTGAGAGGAACATGAAGCGTGAGAAGACCACACAGAGGGATGCCGATGCAGCAGGAACACAAAGGGACAAGGACAGAAAAATATGGGACGAAACTTTGGAAGGCATGCAGACAGTGTGGTCCCACTCAGTGAAACTTTAAAGAAACTAATTTAGCAAGAATTTTGGCGCTTCCAAGTCTGACATGCACAGGGGCAGGTACCAGTATATTTGTTTTTCCAACATTGAAATACTATCATAATGGTCTGTAAATAGTCATAGCAGCAAGAAGTCTGGAAATTCCATCCCAGCTGCCCATACCCTCCCTGGATTGCCGGATCTTCCCACAGTCCAACATCCGGAGGTGTAACATCTGGCCTAGCTAGGGGGCCACCAAGAACCACTCCACGGCTCTGGCTATCCCAGTTGGTCGGAGCCTATGCCATGCCAGTGATGGCTGTTGCAGATTTCACCCCTAGATGCCCCACAGCAGTTTAGGGTGGGAGCCTGTGATGACTCAGAATCTGAAAGAGAAAAATGAGATGCAGAAACACAGGAGACTGAACCAGTAAAACTGCACGTCAGATTCCCGACATGATGCCTTTTGGGGCCACACTGCCTGTCACACTTGGGACACATCACGTCCATCAGTCAGTGACCCCCCCAAGGCCAAGACCCTTCTCTTTTCACTGTCCAATGGTGCCAGCCCTAGATCTTTCTCTGATCATTGCCCAAGGCTTGAGGAGATGCTACTGCCACTGCCGTCACTTTCATCACTGTAATTTCTTCCTGTGTGTTGGATCTATTTCCAGTGGTTATCAGTGAAGCCCTCCATGAAACCAGATTTAGAGGCAGGCATGGTAAATTATGGTAATTTTTCTGCCAGCCGTGCCTTGGTACCATGAAGATAATGTAGTAGACAAATATCATACAACTGAAATGTTCACGACCAAGGCTTGCAGACACATCGATCTTCCTGAGAGAGTAATAGAAAGGATGGATATGGTAGCCATCATCTGTGAGGTGGGAAGGCAAAGCTTTTATGAAGAGTGATTTTGCTTTACCGCCCAGAACCCTCTATTAAGATTTGCTTGAGTGTCTGTCTCCATGGACCTCCAGGTACCTCTTGAGAGAAACAGCCCTGCTCAAGGGTTCAGGCTACAGAGATGCTACAGCTCGCCGCGTGACCTTGGGTAGATCACTTCCCTCTCTGGGCCTCGGCTTTTTCACCTGGGAAGACTGAAAATTTCTCTTTCTTCCTGAAAGAACCCCTGCATTGTGCAATACCCAGAGTTGTGAGAACTTGAGTATTTGGGGGAAGCTCAGATAGGATTAAAGCCAGTGGTTTCCATCACAAAAGAGGCCAGTCCCTGGAGTCAAAATGAAACACTTTAGTGGACCCCACTCCTTTCACCCAAGATCACCTCTCCCCACCCAGCATCCTCTTGTCCTTGGAGCCCTGAGATCAAAGCTCTGCCTGGCCGTTAGTGTGAAGAGAGAAATCTGTCCTAAGTGGGCTTCCAGAAACCACACTTTTACTGGAAAAGCAGGAGGAAGCACGACTGGCTGTGCCACCAGTTCACCCCTCAAGTTAGCATCGGCCTTAAGACTTAGTCAGTCTTTTCTCTACGTGCTTGAAAAATATTTACTTCGTAGGAACCTTCCAACTTAATTTACTACTGACTCTCAAGCCCTAGGAGAGCTGCTTCACACATTTTACTTGTCTTGCTGGTTACTGTAGAGGAAGCATGGAGGGAGAGGATTTAAAAGTCTGAATAATAAAATTTTTAAAAAAGAAAGAAAGGAAAAGAAAATCTTATCTCCATTGCTTACCGTGTTATACTTTTGCTCAATGGCTTCTCCTCCCACTTCCCTCTTAAATATATTAGATCCGTGTCCTGCAAGGGCTAATCTTCCCTCTTTCCTGTCCCCTCAACCTCTTCGTGCCATCTCAGACTCGCTCTTGGAGCTGTTAGAGAAATTCCTCCCCTTCCTCATTTAACAGATGAGGAAATTTACGATGCCAGGGGATCAAACGGTTGTGCAAGGTTAAACAGCGGCTAAGTTCAGGCCAAGTCCTTTGTCAATGTGGGCAAGACTTCACAGTCCCCAGGAGAACCACACACCGAGAAACAGTTTGCAGGAGAAAGTGAGCTTTATAAGCAATTCTGCCAAGACACTGGACTGTCTCTTAAAAACACAAGAGTGAGAGATGAAAAACAATGCCAGCAAAGATAGAAACCCTGCCCAGGACAGTGCGTATGCACACCTGAAGACTGTTATTTAACATCCTTCAGCGGTGTCACTGTTTGGACACCAGCATCCCCGAGAGCTAATATTTGTGGAATGCCAGACATTCTTTCAGACAGAGAAGGGCGGTGAAGATTCTCGAAAGCTGATCAAGCTCTTATGAGCTCCTGCTGGTAACTACCGTTTGCAGTGCTATTCTCCCCAGTGGGCTGGCGGGTCAGCCTAGGGCAAAGTTGGGAGGAGGGTGGTGCCTTGATGCGGGACGCCCGGAATCAGCATTTGGCATCTCCACCTCCACAGGCAGGTGTCCAGTCCTGGGCTACCATGAAGAAGAAGCAGAAGTACTCACTGTTCTTCAATAAGCAAACTTCTTAATCTGCGCAAATAAAAAGCCATTGGGAGCCCTTACTTGCTCTGTCATCTTCCTAAAGGACGTCTGGTGTGGAACTGTGTATAATTAGGTACCTTTGGGGAGGTTGCCTGGCCGTCGCTTCCTCCAGTTTATTACTATGGAGAAAGCACCTCTCAGCACACCATCAGCTTAAAACTGTTGGAGCCTGTCTAATAGCCAAAGCAAAGTTTAATGGATAAAGTCCCTGGAGAGTTTTCAGGTAAAGGAGAAACAGACGGCAGCCATGCAGGGAAAGACAGAGGTGTAAAAGCTGGTTTTTTTGTTTTGTTTTTAGCTTAATGCAATCTAAAGGTGACTGTTAAGATATAAATCAAATTCTTGTTTTAATTAGCGCACGCTGTTTTCCTCCTAAAGATTACCTCTCCAAGAGATCATCTTTAACCCTTCCCCTTCATTCTTACCACTTTGGCCCACTTCTCAGGATTTTCCAAAATGATTCGAAATCAGTACATACAGTAGGGAAAAAATATTTATTTTCTAAAGTCATTACCTTGACAGGCAAAACAAAGCATTTTCTCAATTTCATTCAGAAATACATTTCTAAAAAAATACATAGACCAATATGGCCTGCCCAAACATATATTTCACATGGTAAATATAAGGAATAAATTGTTTGAATATAAATATCTATAAAAAAATAAGTACATCAAAATTTAATCCACCTCTTCCATTAGCCAGTTGCATAAAGGAAAATAATTTTACTGCTTTAAAGCATAACCAATGTTCCACCCTTCAATGTCTTCCATAACCAACCCTATACCACAGTGTTTCCAAAAATCAAAGTAAGGGAATCTCCTGATTCAATGATTTTTTTTTCTCATGAAAACAGAACTAGTAGATTACCATGAAAATATTATATCTACTATTGACACATTAGACAGACTTCCACGAGGCTAGGATTTAGTATGAAGATTTTAGAGGAGGGAGCAGTGGGAGAAGGAAGAGTTTGGGGAGACAATAATTAAAGGTGGGGAAATACTTCAGCCAGAGTGCAATATAGGTGAGGTAGACTCATATTTATGCAACGCATCCTGATTTACAGTAGTAACAGTTTCTTTCGGTTTGCATTTTATGAATTTAAAAAAAAAGTCTTTTTTTTTTTTCACTCGAGAGTTTGTCCTTCGAGTGTGTTCAGTCTGTGCACTCCTTAGACAATCTTTGTGTGGACTTTGGAGTTTCTCCCTGAAATGTGCCAGGCGCCTGAGTGAGACACAAACACTCCCTTCGGACCCTCTTCCGGAACTCCGCCCGCACGTGGAATCTCCTCTCCTCCTGCTGGAGGAGGCCAGCCTAATCTGCAGGTCACTGTGTCTCTCTGCCTTCTTGGAGCGGCCCACTGTCACCCCAGAGCAGGAGAGAAAGCAGTTACCACTGATAGAGGCAAATGAAGATGGAACGGGGGACTCCTTAACCTTTCTTGGAATGTTTAGACCGAGGGCACTGGTCCTGTGACAGTCTGGAGCAAGAACCGGTCTAAGCAGGGAGGGTGCTTTTGCTCTGGTCCCAGCCATGCGGAGAGAGCGCAGTCAGGCCGGGGGCTCGCTGTGGACGAGATGGCTTCAGACAGGCCCCCACAGCCTGCCATCAGTGTGTTCGGTTGTGGGTCACTTTCTTCTCTCTGTAGAGCTCGGCTTTCAGCTTGGCAATGTGAAAGGATGTTTTGATGCTGTTGCTGATGGCCTCCAACCTATTAAAACAAAACAAGAGAAAACAAAACAAAAAAAAATTTTTTTGAGCAAAAATCATTCCTGGGCAAAAGAAACATCTAAAATTAGAAACTGGCACAAACAAATCTAAATCTGGATCCTGAACTTTCACCCCCACCCACAACCTCATGGTACTCTGCTAACCTCAAGTGAAAATAAACTACCCTTTATGCCTAGAATGGGGTCGGGGGAGGCTGGGGGGAGAAAAGGGATATGGTCATGTCTAAAGGGAACTGGGTATTAAATACAATTCTAAAGTACAATTTTAAGGTAAACTAGAGATATTCTCTTCCCTACTTTAGCCCTCCTCCAACCACTGTCCCAACCTCTGTGGGAGTGTGTGGAGAGACCAATTCAGCACAGGTTTCAAAGAGTCACGAGTGTCTTCTTAATCACGTAAGGAATTGAAGGTGACTTAGCGGGAAAGAGATTTAAAAAAGAGGACCCATACAGGTAGGCCCAAAGCAATTGTTCTATGGCAATTTAAAAAATTTTGTTTTTGCAGGACAAAGAAAGAGGGAAGAACTGTAGCACTGATTTAATAGTTGATATAATAGAAACTAAGAGAAAAAATAAATAATTTCCAAGTCAGCTCAGAAAAGTTGTTTTACATAATCTTGAGATCTGGGGGAGCATTAGTGGCCTGAGTTCATAAACAGGGAAACTTCCAGGGCACGTGGGATGTCACAGGCCGCTAGGATGTCAGTAGTAAACAGCTCAAAAGTCATTCCTGGCTGCCAGGTCTGTGCTCAGAACACTTGGATCCTGGAACTGCTTGCCAATGGATTTTGAGGAGAAGCTTCCACTGACCATGATAGGGAAATGTAGACTATGGGACAGATCTGAAAGCAGGATTCCTCCCTCCTGTCTGTGAATTCCAAACTGTTTGGGATTTGGAAGGGTTGTCACTCGAGAGCTGCTCAGAGCAACCCTGTGGTGTTACTTCTAACCCAGATCCGTTCTCTGCCCCAGCTCATGACTGACTGAAAAACAAGAGAGCTTTTGGGAATGACACTGGCTCTGTCGACCAGATGCATTTCCCTGTTTAAAAAAATAAATAAATAAACCTGAAAAAACGACCTGTTCTAACTCTCACCAACCCTACCTAGTAACTTTATTTTCCCTTTGGCCATTTGAATACTACTTTTTGAAGAATTGGATTATACATGACACTTTGATTAAACAAACAAAAATCTCCCTGAAGTGATTTTTAATTTCTTAGGGAAAGCAGTAAATATACTGACTCAGAGAGGCAAAAAGTAGACGTGATCAAATAACAAAGGTGTCTCTTGATACATCTTGTTTGGAAAATCTACCTTTAGAATGAGTGGTGTGTGTGTGCTAAAAAATCTCCAAAATGTACAGTGGGCAGCAGTCTGCATTCAAGGCCTTCAGGAAAACATTTGAGAGCGATTCCTTTGGAATGCAGAGATCCCCCTTTCCTTTGCCATTGTCTCCTAAGCCTTTCCCCCATGGAGGTAAGAGTGACTAGGAGCGGAGACCATTCACAGGGGATAGGGGCCAGCTGTTCTTGGGAGCCTCTTACCTTCTTATTTTCCTTCCTGCCACTAGCTGCTGCTGAATACACTTCTCACCAGGCTGGGAACAGTCTCTGCCTTTCTTTTGGTTATTCCAGCCTTTCTCCGTAGTGTCTTGGTCCCTATTAAAATACACAAAGGGAAAACATTTCAGCCATGGTATCTCCAGTTGCTCTCAAGGCCTCAGTTAATCTTTCAAATAACAAGGCAGCATCATAAGAGGGAGAAGGTCAGGAGGCCATAAAACTGATGGAAAACAAAGTTGTTTGGACTCACCTGAGTTCTTTTCCTGCTTGGCAAAAATTCCAGCATTTCTTGTCTTTTTGGCTTGCACACTGGCATCTGTTCCTGTGGAGTGTCGCCTTTGTGGGAAATAAATCCTTTAAGGATCGCTTGGACCTAGAAGGGCTTCCAAGTCCATATGGAACAATGTGCCTGTTATTGAAAGAGAGGAACAAAAGAGATTAGCATAATTAATAGTCTAATAGTCTCCAAAGATTGCCTTCTTTGGGGCAAGCTCATTCCATTAAGACAGAAGGAGCTCACGCCACAATGTCTGGTAGTGGAACTTAGGAGAGTGAAATGTAACAGGATCACATGCCTGTCAATGGCCCTGCGCATGTAGACGCAACCAGGAGAAAATCAGTTTTTCCGAGTCATTAACATTCTATGTGAACTCTCAAACAACATTCAGTTTCTTCTCGATATATAGTAGCCTTGATTTTTGTCCAAAATTATGACATCTCTGCTTTGGTATCTGTTTCATATTTTCTTCCCTTTTCTAACTTTCTCCTTTGTTAACAGTTCTTAGGAGGGGGGCACTTCCACGCGAAACTATGACTCACAAGGTTTTGAAAACCTATTTTCCACTCAAGCTATACATGGTAATGCTGAAAGGGGCCCCGGAGGAGACGGGAGTAGGCATCGTACCGTGTGCATAGTTCCTGCCCGTGCTGCATATTTTCTGTGATCTGGTAAGATCACATGACTATAGAAGGGTCCCTTGCCAGAAGTCTGTCCAGTAATTGCCCATGTGTCTCTTTTGATTCTCACCTAAGGAATAAGTCCTCCCCTTGGAAGTATCACCTTACTCAGTATCAGGCTTGCTGTGGATTTTGTTTTGGTTTGATTTGATTTTGTTTGGATTTTGGCCGTCCCTCACGGTAATGGGACCCTGCAGGCACAATCAATGTGTTTTTGTTTTCGACTCCCTCTGATGGGTGAACTAGTCTTCAGAGGGTAATGGAGGAGGAACTACTTTCTTCACTCTGGAGACAGAAGGGAAATCTAAGGATTGGGCTTCGAGTCGGACACCCAGGGTCTAGGTTGAACTCTGCCATAACCTTTTTCCTCACAAGTGGCTTCCACATTTGGGGTCTTTGTTTTTCTAAAAGTAAAATGGGCAGGTGGGACTATAACTATAATCCCTTCTGCCTTTTGAGTCTCTCCCATGAGAAGCTTAGGTTGGACCAACCCACATAAGATCTCAGCAATGTATCTCCTAAACCAGGCAGATCCCACGAAAAAAATATCCCCCCCCCCAACCAAAACCCGGGCCCCACACCTACAGTGTCCAAGCCAAAAAGTAACAAGAGTGAGCTCCGGTAACGCCAAAGGGGAGGAGTGACTAGTGTAACGATGCCCTCTAGAGACTCACTCTGGAGTGTTGACCCAGATGATGTCCAGGTGGCAGAAGTAGACACACTCTTTATCCATCAAGGAAGAGCAGGAGCAGCGCTTGGACCGGCGGGGCCTCCAGGGAGTGCTGGGAGAGGGCCTCTCCCCTCCGCCCTCCGCTCCTGTGCTGAGCTCGGCGCCCAAGACCACTGGGGAGAGAAAGAGCAGGTCAATGGGAGATGTCTCCGTGGAGGCCCAGAGGCACACAGGTCACGGTATCGACGCCAGATCTGGCAGAGCAGATAAAAGCCGATGAAGCACACGGCTGCCTTCAGCAAGAAACACAGAGGGAAAAAGGTTTTGTTGTTTTTTTTTTTTTTTTGCCCTCCTTAACATGACTTCACCTTTATCACCACTGGCTTATCTCTTTCAGAGAGATTATACAAGTGCAGGGGAAACCACCACCTGAAAAGGGACTTACCAGCCCCTTGAAACAGCCTTCAAGGAACTGCTGCCTGCTGGAAATTTGGATTGGCTTCTGCGTGGACCCTAGTAGGACAGCTCAACCTACAATGCCTTAAAATTGGCTGATGACCAAAAATCTAAGACTAAATAAATCATACTGCCTTTTTTTTTTTTAAGATTCAGAGCCATGACCTTCTGTTGAGGGCAGGACCCACCAGTTCACACCCTGTGCTAGGCAGGGAGTAGCCCGGGTGATATACACCTCTTGAAATAGGTGGAGGTCCAGAGCTTTGGGGAGGTGATTGGAGAGAGAGAAGAGAAATCAGCTCTCCGGTATTTATTCCAGGCAGTCAGCTCCACAGAAACCACAGACCTACAGAAGCTGAGCAGCAGGGGACCTGGTCAAGGTCCTGGGGGGTTATGAATTCTGAATCTCCGAGCAGTATGCGGTGCGTGGGATTTGCCTCCTCCCCGCTCCCCACTGCAGCATTGCCTCCTCTTACTGACAAGTTAGCCATGCAGCTTATCTGCCCAATTTTGTCCATTTCAAATGATCAGACACATTCCAGGATTTTCCTTCCCTTGACATCCTTTCCCTTTAGCCAGGGTCATGACAAAACAAACAAAAAAATGCATTGACCCTAAAAGAGGGAAGCAGGCAGATGCACCCATACTATCTAAATCCTTAAGCAGCCAGGATTTACCCTAGCTTCCCTCTCAGGACAGGTGAATCAGACTGGAAATGGAACCCACACTGTTATGAGTGCCAAAAACCTGCCAAAAGAAACCTAAAGTCAGTGATGACAAATTTTAAAGAAAGCATCTGCATCACCCTGACACTGCCTGAGGGGATTTTCAACCAGACTCCTGCAGGTGATTTTACTGCTCATATATTGCTTCAATGACTTGAATAAAATTCCTTGGCTTCAAGCTGAAATGTTTAAATGTTTTACACATTAACACACTATTAAAGAGTATTTGAATAAGATATAAATTAAGATATAAATTCCTGTATGTCTTATTACCTGTATGAACACAAATATTGCAAAAATACATTTGGCTAAATTGTATCTTGTCTTTAATTGAGTTGTATGTTTAAAAGCCAAGGAAATACACTAGGCAATGATAATAATATTACTTTAATGCTATAGGAGCATTTATCTTCAACAGGATTTTTTTTTCCCACTAGAAAACTTAAGCAGCTTTGAGCAATAATTCCCCTCCACTGGATATCCCAGCAGCAGTCAGAAAAAGAAGGGGGGAAAAAACAGAAGCAGGAAAGCATGAAGGTTGCGAAGAAGACATCAACATTCAGGGATTACAAGTCAACGTGCCTACCTGTTTCTGTAGCTCCGTGGAAAGCCACGAACAGCAGAGCGAAAATCATAGGGAAATAATCCATTCTGAAAAAGGGATCAAAATCCTTCCCCCGGCGAACTAAACCCGAAGGAGGGGGGGGGGAACAAAACGCAGAAAAGCAGCTTTAGTTCCCTTTAAGCGTTTCTGGTCATTCAGATATCAAAGGGATCCTTCAGCCCGAATGCTCTTTAACGGGAGAAAAAAGAGGTTTCTGCCGGGAGAGGAGGCAGTGGGAGCGGTCGGAGGACGCACGCGGCCGTGGAGCGCGGGGACCGAGGACCCTGGCGGCGCTGCTCCCAGTGCCGAGGCAGAAGCGCGTCTGACCTGGACAGCTCTCAGCAGGCTTTTTATATTGAACCCCTATAGAGTGGGGGTAAACAGCTCCAACTTTATTCCAGCCCCAGACAATGTTATTGTGTTATTAGTCACCAACAGGCAACGTGCAGCCGGAGATAAGGCTGGGCTCTAAAGGAAATCACTGCTAACTTCAGAGGCAGACGCCCGCCGTCTGACAATTCAGGGGCAGGGCTAAGAAAAAGAAAATACCCATTAGAGACCTTTGGTAAACCTGCCCGTGCAGCGCTGGAGTCTGCTTCCCCTTTGCAAGCTGCCAGCCCCGGAGTTCAAGAATCAGAAGAGGGACTCCAGAAAAGTCATACCATTGGTATGAAAAGTATGAGCCACAGTTTAAATAGATGGTATTGTTGTGTGCGGGGAATTTTTTTTAATTGTTGTTCTCTTCATTTGCCTTTTATGTCTCTCCGATTTCTTAGTGCTGATCAGACCAGGGAAGGCTCTCCCTGTGCGCTCCCCCCTCCCCCGACTCGGGGGTCAAACTATTTTGGCAGATCCATGCATTTTTCTCTTACTTCTAGCCCCCTCCTCCAGGTCTGTTTTGCTTAAGTTCTTTGCGTCCACAGTGGAAAAGATCAGAGAGCAACTGGCAAAGAAAGGAAGTTTAAAAAAAGTAGAATTCTTTCAGGCACATACCTAATCCGTTCAGTATTGCTGATTAGTAGCCCTCATAAACGCTGTGTGTGTGCGCTCACCCTCTCCCCTATCCCGGATCGCCCCGCTTTCAGGAGCACCAATTTTAAGAAATAGCGAGAGAGGAACGCCAGGGGGCGACGAAGAGCTACTGGGGCTGATGTTTTCGAAGGACAAACGGTAATGAACAGCCTTGGCTTCCAAATAACAGAAGGAAACTCAACCACCTGAGACGGGAGCTTAGGAAAGAAAGGGATGGCGCCTGACACAGAAGGCGAGATGCCCCTCAGAATATAACATTTGGTTCCTACATCGGGACATTTTGTAGGAGCCCTTTTTTTTTTTTTTTTGGCTTCATCTTTTTAAGTCAAAAGGGTGTTCTTGTACAAGTTTAGGTGACTGCACAACCAGGGTGGTTTTGGGAAGGAGGAAATGCCCGAGCTGAATAAGGGATCAGACAATACCTCACTTTTAATAATATGTTTATGTTTTCAAAGCAATTTCCTGTCTGTATAACCATGAAATACCCCTGAGGTCCCCACAGGGCACTTACTGCAGTGGAGACAACATGCTGTAATGTATAGAGCAAAACATGAATGTAAGACATGTGCCTTTTTCAATTAGCCTCATTTTTCAAATGAGAAAGTTGAGGCACCCACAAGTTCTGTGCTCCATCAAAGTTCTCAGTGTGGCTGAGTAAAGCTCTCAGGATAAAACTAGAGCATCTTGCCTGCATAGGAAAAAGATGTGCCTTTGTCTAGCTCCTAGGGAAACCATCAAATAGATGCTTCTGCCATTTCTTCATCTTTTTTTTTTCGCCAATACCCCCATACACCCCAGGATTGGAATGTGGACTCATTTCGAAAACTCCTGAGGCTCCAACGGAACCATTTCCTCCTGCTTCTGTCTGCTTACTCTCCACCTTTAGAATGGAAAGGACAGATTTTATCCTGACACCAAAGCCATGGACCTGGGCACACTTGGTCCCCCTGGACCTCCCCGGAAGTCACAGCGGGGGAGATAGTAACAGTAGCAGTACCCATTCCATAATGAGATCTGCCCCCTAAACAAGCCACTGCAGCAAGAGCTGAAAACAGGGGAGAGGCAGGGACCCTGCCCCCACCACTCCACTCAGTCCCCAGGGGTCTCCTCCTCCGGGTGCTTACCTCAGCCCAGCTCTGGGGCCGGGGAGGGTGCAGCTCCCCTAGGACTAGGTGCCACCAAGCAGGGAGCCAGCTCTGCCTGCCTCGGCTCTGGCCAGTGTGTTCTGACCTCTTCCCACCAGCAGAACACAGGAGAGTGGAGGAGACTTGATGTCACATTCACAGGATCCAAGACCCCCCCCCCCCCCCGCTGTCCTGGGAGAAGTGGCCTGGGAAGTGTGTCTTGGCAGGGATCCCATACCTTTTTTTTTAACCTCCTGGCAACTTTAACAAACATTGGCCACAGCCAGGACCAGCTTGTCCTCAGCTCCTCCCTGGAAATGAGGGGAGCCTTTCCAGGTCCAGTCTGGCTCCTCCGGCAGGGAAGCCCATCTCCATGCCACCCCTGCCTTGGTGAGGCTGCCCTGACCGGTGCCAGTGACGCCCAAAAATCAGGAGAAGTGAAGCAGAATGCAACTGCCCACACATCTTCCCACAGCCCTCCTCCCCCACATCCCCTGTGTCATCCTGTGAAGTATTTAAATTACAAATACAAAAAGTGGGCAGCAGCCATCCACCCCCACCCTTCACCCAGGGTCTTCTTTTCAAGTAAATGCACAGGTTTTCGGACCTGGAAAGGTCCCATTGTTCCAAGGACCATCTTGCCCCCATCTTTAAATCTTGAGTTTCCAAGATACACACTCACGTGGGTGTGCACCTGTGGTGAGCATGCGCCTGTGTGTGTTTCCATTTTTCTCCATGTGTCCAGGGGCAGTGGTGGGATCTGCCTCTCTGCCCATCTCTCCATCTCCAGCTCTTGCCGCAGCCTCTTTTCTTCCTGTAGGAGGAAAGGGGAGCCCCTTTCAAGCACAGAGAAGGCAGCTATGGCATTGCCAGGCAGCTGCCCAGCAAGATATTTTGCCAAGAACCGAGAGCGAGAGCGGGAGGGAAAAAGAACCCCAACAAACAAGTTTTACAAGCTTGATGCTCCCACTGCTCCTTCACTTAAAGCCTTGCTAGGGAGGGAGGTGGGAGAGGAGGAGGTTCCTGGACAAAGGAATAGAAGTGGAGAGCCCACCTCCCTCCAAGTCCACCTGCCCAGCCCTCCAAGATCTAGCAGGGGGAAAGCTCTTTGCAGACACAGCCCTCCTCAGAGAGGAAAGGGAAGGGAGAGAGGAGGTAAAGAGATGGCTTTTTCCCCCAGTGGAACAGTTTTCTGTTGCTGTTCTTCCTTGTAATGTTACACTTGAATACTGGAAACTATTTGATAAAACTATTTCTTATGTGTTCCCTTCTGTATCTCTTGCTATGTATTAATAGATAGCTATAAATAAAACACCCTGGGCCCCAAATACAGATACTGCACAGTAGCAAAGTGTACTGTTTTTAGCATTTTTCAGCTTTGCTCTTTCTCAACTTTTGCATAATAAAATTTGCATCTTTGCCAAGCCAGTAAATCTGGGGTGAGACATGGCATTGAGCTCAGCAAAAGGAGCAGTCATTTCGTTTCTTGACAAGAAGACAAAGAATAGGGAGTAGCTTACTGTAGAGATGGTGAAGCTCTCCAGGCCACCAGGCCTGGTTCAATTGTACATTGTTGACTGTTTGACATCCCTACTTTGCATGGCACTGTATAAAAGGTTGTGCACCCCAGACATTACACCATGACATGTTACACACCTCCGGGAGTCATGAACAAACACAGCTTCTCCCTGGGTCCAAAATATAATGGCAGTTGGCACAGGAGATAGGATGATGCTCAAAAGAGATTCATCCCATGCATTTAAAAAACATAGAACATTAAGAGTCATCGACAGATGAATTGATAAAGAAGATGTGGTGTATATATAATGAAATGGCACTCAGCCGTAAGCAACCACATGGTTGGACCTAGAGGGTGTCTTGCTAAGTGGAGTCAAACAGAGAAAGAAAATACTATATGGTTTCACTTATATATGGAATCTAAAAAAAACAAAACCAGCCGGCAAACATAACTAAAAAATAGATTCATAGATACAGAGAACAAATTGGTGGTTGTCGGGGGTGGGGTGCTGGGCGAAATAGGTGAAGGAGATTAAGAGGTACTTCCAGTTATAAAATAAAGAAGTCGTGGGAATGTAATATATAATGAAGGGAATATAGTCAATAATATTGTAATAATTTTGCATGGTGACAGATGGTAACTAGGCTTATCATTTTGTAATATATAAAAATATCAAATTGCTATGTTGCACACCTAAAACTAATATAATATTGTAAGTCAATTATGCTTCAATTAAGAAAGGAAAGAGAACCATGTACCAAATGCAACTGTACTTCCTTGGCACGTTCATCCTTAAGATGATGACAGATAGTTGGTATTTAGTTTAAAAGAATATGTCCAGTTCTCTAACCTAGTGTTTCCTAAACCTCAGACATTCAGAAACCTTTCACAACTTTTACCATATTTGTGCGCCACCCATAGATTTTTACTTAATATTTTTCTTTCAACTGACTTCTTTTACTTGAATAACTTTAAGAAACTGTCACTACCATCCTGAGCAATAATATGTATGGAATCATGGTTTATATAGTTAAATAATATACATTTTAATAGTTAAATAAGGTACATGAAATCATGGTTTAATACAGATTAAAATAAACATAATTAGTGTGTTCATTAGGCTATTAGAAATAAAAACTGTCCTGCCAGATACTGTCACCTGATATACCAACCCCAGCATGCTCACCCCTCTTGGGGAACACCATTCATTCCACTCTGATATCTTATGTCTTATTATGTTAAGAATTAAGCCCTGGTTTAATTCCACTCTCTGAGTCTACTTTCAAGATAATATCTAAATATTCCACATCAAAACTCTCATATGGATGCATTTCAAAGAAACAGAAATTCTGGCACCCAGAACCTAGAAAAACAAGGAGTTCGCAGTCCAAAAATTTCCTAGTTCATACTTCTCCTTGGTTTATGGCTTCAATGTTTTGGCAGTTGTCTATTTTGACCCTCTATCCCCAGTTTAAATATCCTAAGTGTTTTTGCGCGCGCACGCACACACACGTGAACCTATAGCCTGGAATGGGATAGTAATTGTAATATTTCACACATCCAAGAGACCAGAAAAATGTCACAGCCAGTAGCTGCCTCCCCATCTTTTTCTCCTTAATTCTATGTCATTCATGACCTGTGGAACTAAAGAGATTCTGATGCAGGGGTTAAAAATTAATACCACTTGAGGGTACATGGAACAGAGTCAAGTCACTTCATTAAACCTAATTTATGTTGTCATTCTAGACAAGCTTTTCTTCCAGGTGTTTGAAAGGTACAGTAAAAGGAACTAATTCTGGAGAATAGCTGTGGTGTAAATATGATGGGTACCTTTCTGTTTTCCTAAGCAAGTGGCATGTGTGTGACATTCGCAAGGGTGGGGTGACTCTGGTTAAGTCCACTGCTGTTAACACCCTTTTTGTGACAGCATTTCACTACTAATTATGCATTTCTTTTTGGTTTTTAAAAGTTTTTTTGTAGGATACTGGTATCAGGGGATGGGGATGGGGTGAGTGAGAGAAATGGGGAAATGTTGGTCAAAGGATACAAACTTAGAAGTTTAATAAGTTCTGGGGATCTAATGTACAACATGGTGATTATACTTAACAATACTGCATTATATACTTGAAACTTGCTGAAAGAGTAGATCTTATTCTCTTCACTAAAAAAGAATCATAACCATGTGATGTAATGAAGGTTCAGCTAACACTGCAGTGGTACTAATTTGCAGTATATAAGTGTATCAGATCAACACAACTTACGCAATATTATATGTCAACTATATCTCTATAGAGCTGGAAGAAAAGTTTCTTTTGCACCTTGTATTTAATGGCAAAAAAATAAGCCGGAAGTCTTAACTCTTTCTCAACTTTTGTGTAATAAAAGGTCTTTGGTGCCCTGCTGAAATTTCCAAAACTATCCTAGGAAAGTAGCAAGAAAATGATTCATTTGAAATTCATTTTCAGATTGGAAATCTGAAATCAGAAAGCTTCTGTTATTCAGTGTTGTGTGCATATAGGTGTAGTGAGCCCCCACTGGGTGTCCAAAGTAATTCTATGTACTTTGTGTATTTCAGTGTAAAGGTATGACGACTTCATATTCATAGGTCAGTGGATTGACATGGAATTAATAAAAGCCAGAGGGGAAAGGCAACACTTGGGAGGAGGGAGGGAAGCAAAGGTACCTACAAGAAAACGAGGGATCTGAGGGACTAAATGATTCAAGAAATAACCATAGAATGAAAGAGGCTGAATGAAGGTTTTAAAGGATAGCAGGAAAGATCTTCACAGATGAGAGGAGTTAGCAGCTGTTTCAGAGGACAGAAAATGGGTAAGAGGGGAGGGAATTTTAGCAACTTGGTTTGGTTATTGGCTTTATAGTTCCAGTGGGACCAGGTGATTGATGATGATGCAAGAGAGAAAGATTGTGTAGGGGACATATGTGGTCGATATTTTTAATATCTCTGTAATGTGCCAGGATAATGTACAATGTCTATAGTTTTCACTCTGTGATTTCTGAAATTTTAAGGATTCACATGGGGCACAAAGAGGAACTTTTTCCTAATGAATAAGGTCAGATGATTTTGACAGTTCATTGTATGGACTATGTCACCATTAGAAGGTCTGGATTTTATTTGTATTAGAAAATATTAAGTGAGTTAAAGTTATTCCCACATTTTGCCTATCTCCTTTTTGGACTCAGCCATTTGCAGGGAAGAAAAAATCTTCACTATAAAGGTTTAGAAATGTTCTCTGAGTTCCTACATTTTTCCTTATCTCTTTCTTTCATGAGAAAAGATTTAGTACAAGGATTATTTTTATTATTCTTACCAGCCACCTACCTGCAAGTAACTCAAACCTCCCTCTTTAAACTATGATTTTGATAAAATTAAATTTCTCTCCAGATAATATTTTTTCTTAAGTATGAGTGTGCAGTGGAAAAGGAAAGAATATTTATTACTGGTTGTCATCTTAGAAAAAATATTGGGGAAATAGTGGGTTACTTTTTTAAAAGGGCATTGGATTCATTTAGAAATGCTAATTTAATTTCACAAGTCCCAGAATATATTTAATGCTAAGGATTTTGTTTGATTTGGCATTTGCACTTATTTTAATTTGTTCTCTTGATGGGAAAAAAAAAACTTTTGGACTGGGGACAAGAATCATTTTCCTGGAAATTGATGTCTTCAGATTTTTTTTTTCTGAGAAGCTTAAAAAAACACCCATATACTTTTCGTTAATATTATTTAACATTTATTGATTATCATCTTTCTCTGAGTATAATTTTTACTAAGGACAGTGTGGGAATTCAAAAGACATTGAAATACATTTCTTTCCCATGTCTATGAGTCACAAGAACAAAGAATGGGGCTTGATGACATTGTGTGTGTTGCTCCCTTATTGTGTTGATTTATTTTAGAGAAATGTGGGGAAAAGAAAAAGGGATTAAAATGAAGGCCTACAGGAGGTGTCTGCTTATGGCTGAATTTCAGGCTCTTGCAGGACTTCAGGGAGAAGTACTGCAGACTTACTTTAGAAGGAGGAGGAGAGGAAGGAGGAGGAAGACCAGGCATGAAGCTATGGCCCAGTTCTCAGCCCTCCTCCTTCCTGGGATGTGAGGGGAGCACGGAAGCGTAAGTTAGAGACTCTTGCAACTCATAATGTTCATGTAAAGCACACGATCTTGCTACAAAATGGAAAAGATTCTGTGAACTGCAAAGTAGCTGGTTTAAAGACTTTTTTCCAAAGTTGTTTCAAGACTGTTCCGCGAGGGCCAACATTTTCTAGATAAAGCATTTTACGGCATTGTTTCTTTCTGGCTGTCCTCTCTCCCCCGACATCCATTCTATTTTTGTACGTTATCTGGAAGAA